GTATACGACTTCCGTGTGCTGCCATTTATGAATTGGTATTTTTGTCCTCCAAGACAGGTTTGTTCAATCATCCGACATCAAAGCGATAGAAGCTTGGTTGACGTGAACAGCGCACGATAATATTATAGATTTGATCCCATGACGCTCGAGTGACAAGTGGCGCCAGTGCCATTGTACTATTTCTGCTCTTCCTCTACTTAAAGACAAGATTCAGGATAAAATAGGTGTGGAAAAGCGTTCAGTTATGAAGCTATAGGTGGGAGGTGGTCTGTAAAAGAGAAGGAAAGCAAACGAAACCACCGATTACGCCCCGTACAGACCTCCCCCTATTTCAGCCACATTCCACCTTGGGATAGAGAAGAGGCGAATTGGACGAGTTTCACGAACCTAACTCTACTTGCTCCAGTGTCAATAACATTGGATCGCGCTGGGACCACTGCCTCAAATGCGCCCGCGCTTTTCAAGCAGCGCCACGTGGCAACCGACAGCGAAGGGTGGGGCTTGCGGACGAAGGTGTGAGTTGCGGGTTGGACGAGCTCCTTGCGCCTTTGTCGCGCACTTTCAAGCCGCAAAAGGGGCCCGACATCAACACTTGTCCACCTGCCTACTACCCCTGGATGGAACAGGCGAGCCCGCCTGATCGCGGAGCGTGCCTTTAATTGCCATAACTGAAATGTTCTGAGAATTTGTCAACACTGTCGTTGATTTTTACTAATTCTATGGTCTGATTCTATTTTTTGAATCCCTGTGTTCAAGTTTTGTTATAGGCACGCTTCCGGATTAGGCACGCTCCCCTGTTCCATCCCGATCGTAGTAGACAGGCGGACAAGCGTTGATGTCGCGCCCCTTTTGCGGCTTGAAAGTGCGCGACAAAGGCGCTAGAAGCTCTCGACCCGCAATCCACACCTCGTCTGCAAGCCCCGCCTTCCTCTGTGAGAAAAGCGCGAGCGCAATTGCAGCAGTTGCATTGCGGTTCAATGTCATTGGCACTGGAGCAACTGGAGCTAGGTTCGTGAAACTCGTCCAACACGCCTCTTCTCTATCCCAAGGTGGAATGCGGCTGAAATAGAGGAGGTTCTTATTCGGGCGTAATCGGGGGTTTCTTTTGCTTTCTTTTTCTTTTCCAGACCACTCCTTACCTCCAGTTTCATTAGTGAACGCTATCACACCTTCTTTTATCCCTGGGCTTGCCTTCAAGTGCGGAATATTTTGCGCGATCTAGAGAAACTAATCAATAAAGGTTCCAAAGTTCCAACCGTGCGTGCTGCAATCGCTGCTACTCTGTCGATCGCGACCTGCGTAGTTTTGGCGCCCCTTTGTGTTCAAGCTGCTCTCCAGTTTTTCCTCTCCTCGTAGCGCTTTGTCTTCCGTCATACCGGGCCGATCCACAAGGAACATTTCAGTGTTTTCTATGTCAC